AACCAAAGCGCATCCATGGTACACAGTGAAAGGTCCCATGGCAGCAGCCATCGTCTACCTCCAAGAATGGCATTGGCAGGTCCAGACTTGCTCCGCTGGACTTGACCTGACACGCCATACCCTCAACCTGAGAGACCCATGGTGGAAGCTGGAGCAGGCCCTACTAAATGAAGCACGACAGCAAAGAACCAGCTGACTTGCAGCCAGGCCAAACCACCAGCACCTGCTCCCAGGTCTTGACTGGCATGTTGAGTAAACAGCTCCCACCAAGGCAGAAGCAGCGTTTGGACACATGGATTCGTGAAGCCAACAAGCCTAAACCGTGTCCCATATCCCATGTCCCAGCCACTCCCAAACACATCATCTGGATGTGCAAGTGGCACCGCGCACAAGAGCATGAACCCATCCCTTTAGAATGGATGGAACGCATCAACTGCCCGGAAGATTCCACTGGAGCCTCAGGATCTCAGAGCCTAAGAACATCCCTTGCAAGGGCATGGCGCCTGGCAAACACTCCAGCCCATTGCCCCCCACCAGCGCCGAGGCTGGGCTTTCACAGTTGATGCAACACCAAGCACCTACGACTCCCGCAGCCAGCTTTGGGTTTTTGGGCTATGCGTGCACACCATGTCCTTGGGACAACTAGACTTGGAGCCATCACAGGAATCCCAACCGGCCCACAGAACAAAACCAGAGCCTTACTTGCTGGATTGGTGGCCCTGGCCAAGCGTACCACCACACCAGTCAGGGTGATCGTTCAACTCACCAGAGTGTGGGAAGCCTGGACCCAGAAGCATCACCGCCAAGCCTACAATGAACTGTTTGCCGACCTCACCGAACAGGACATGCAGAGGATCACTGTCCTATATGTCAGCAGGAACACCAGTTTTTCAGAGGCTCCTGCATGGCAGCCTTGCCTCAGCAAGTCCAAGAAGCAGTCGCAAGACTCACTGCACCAGAGCCAGTCACTGAGAAGGACATTGCCACGAAGCTCAAGGGCCAGGTCTCCGAGCTCAAAAATTTGCCATCAAGAAGACCCAACTACAAGAACGTTTGGACAACACCAAAGCTCAGTACCAGTCCCTCCTCACAGAGATGCAGGAGCTTCAGCAGAAACTCAATGAGGGCAGAAAACTTTGAAACAAACCTCGGAGGAATACATGCAGGCGGTCAACAAGGACCCTAAGCCAGGAGAACTGGAGACTTCAATGGAAGTCGATCCACTCCCGGCGGCTTTGGAAACCTTTGTCGCAAATCTGGGAGTGTCATTTTCCGATGAACAGAAGTCCCAATTGCATGGCCTACTCAAACGGCCAAGCACTGGAGCAGCCGACCTGAACAAGCGTCGGAAAACGGACACCGTGAGCCCCACAGCGGCGCCTGGATCTTGTGGGTAACATGCACTTGCTCACAAACCAAACGGTGGGTATCCATGTTCCTGTACCACAGGACGATTTTGACATGGGGGTTGCCACTGAGCAACAGGCACCACAGGCAGCCGAGACACACGTTTTTGATCTTTCAACCGCTGGCTCGAGCTGCAGCACCCTTTTTTGACATCTCATGTTGCAGGGGAACAGCAACCAGTGAGATCACTAGCGCCAGACCACTCTGGGGGACAACTATGCACCTGCCTCGCATTTTGCGCATGGCGACCACTGCCTGAGCATCACTGGAGGGACCGCATCCCACTACACCTCTCCAACTGAGAGCTCAGCTGAAGGTACCAAAGATATGAGCCATCATGAATATGCATCCACCACTGACCTGATCCTGCAGAACCTGACCATGATCATTGGAAATCAACAGAAGGATGTGCGCCTACCTGGCCGAATTCAACATGGAACCCTGCGGCGCGATCAAGGATGCTGTGCTAGCATCCCTGGAACTCAGTGAGCCGGTCGACGTCAAGAGCCTACCAGGTTTATACCTGACCGAGCATGTCCAACTTCCGTTGGTGGTGGACTACCCAGAAGAGTTTCTGGACGAAATCACATGGCGAGAGCTGATCAACAACTGGGCTAACCAGGGGCTCGGACAATTTCTTGCTGATGACAAGACAGTTCTGGTGGCGCACATCAACCGAGCAACACCTATGAAGGAACTCTCACCAAACACAAACAACGGGCACTCAATCCACATGGGGCCTTTACGGTGCCACGATCCTTGGATGGATTCTCACGCCAGCTCGGAATACATGCATCACCCAGGATTCCATGCGGATCCATGTGGCCAACATTACAACCTTTGGCAAACACACCCTGGACTGGCAATGGAGCAGGGACAACGATCTCCATGTCCTGGTGGAGACCCATTTGGACAAACAAAAGCGCAACTCTTTGTGCCAGTACTTCGAAGTCACAGGTCGGCATGCTTTCGGCCTTCCAGCACGCACCAACGACACCAACGAAGGCAATCATGGAGGCATTCTGATCCTCCACGATACTTACCATGGAGTCGCACAGCTCGAGCAGTACCACATTGAAGGATGTGGCTATCAGGCTTTCCTCTGGGAAGCCAAGGCGCGCTCCATCCTGGTGGTGGCTGTGTATTTCAAGACCACCACCAACTCCCAACTGCTTGCCCGAATCCTAGCCCTCATCGAGGCATCCAATCGACAATACATCCTTCTCGGGGGTTGGCGCCCAAACCAATTTCAGAAAACGGTCCTCGACTCCAAGTTCCACTGGCAGATTTTAGCTCCAGATGCCACACTGCTCAATGGCAACACAGTGGACTATGCACTCATCCACAACCAGCTTGCACCACTCACGTCCATGACCGCGGACTGGGCAGTCCCATGGAGACGAGCTGGATAGCTGCGCACATTCCCTGCTTTGCCGGCTCTCCCGGATCCAGGGACCGTGGACCACTTACGTCAGTCAAGTTGAGGAAGTACTGCTGTACGAAGCGGAACCCAACCTGGCAAAAGGGACTGGCTGACTGGGTATCCATCACCGAACAGTACCTGCTTCAACAACATTCTTGGGCGGCGCAAGGCAGGGCATCCAACCTACAAGCAGTACATCAACCCCTCACCCCCAGCAAAGCCGGACCCATGTGGAAAAAAGGCAAACCAGCCTACTGGGAGCAACTGCAGGCCCGCTTGAACATCATCCAACACCAGCCAACTTATCGCCGCCCTCGAGGCAGTCCCTAAGCATTGGACTGGAGAGCCCACATGGGCACAATTCCTGGACACAGCCCAACACTGGCAGCGCCACTGAGATCCCAGAACTATGGACCTCGTGCAGCAAACCATCTCCCACCAGCTTGACCAAGCTTGGCGCACAGTCGGAGTGAAAGCCAGTATGCAGCATGGATTCGCCAGGGCGAAACCAAAGGACTCCGGGGGCTTTTTCGGTCCTTGAAGGCCAGCGAGTTGTCCTGGCAACGACCATATCGAACCATCCGGTGGCAGACCGAATGAGGCGCCGCCTGAGAGACTGGCACAGCACAGGCAGCTCAGCTCCCACCTGTGACCATTGGACATTCTTTCTTACTTGCCCACTTGCTTAGTCACTCACTTGCTTGCTTGCTTGCTTGCTTACTTACTCACTGACTGACTGACTGACTGACTGACTTATACATACTTACTTATACTTACTTACGTACTTACGTATATATTTACTTACTTACGTACTTGCTGTTTTCTTATGTACTTACTTACTTGCTTACTTACTCACTTATTTGCTTTACTTGCTTTTCTTGCTTTACTTATTTAACTTACCTGATTTGTTTTCACTTACTTTGCTTACTCTATTTACTTTTCTTATTTCACTTATATACTTTGTTTTTATTGTTCTTACTTTACTTATTTTACTTTTTTAACTTATTCCTTAACTTCTTCAATTGACTTAACTTACTTAACTTACTTACATTACTATCCTTACTCACCTTATTTACCTTACTTACCTTACCTTACCTTACCTACTGCCTTACTTCCTTACTTACTCGCTTTCTTACTTACTTACTGACTTATCTACTTACTTACGTACTTACTTACTTGTTTGTTTATCTATTACTTACTTATTTACTTTTTTTACTTACTTACCCACTTACTTTCTTATTTACTTACTGCCTTGCTTACATGCTTACTTACTTACTTACTTACTTACTTACGCACTTCCTTTTTTACTTACTTACTTACTTACTTACTTACAATGATACATACATACATACAGACTTACTTACTTACTTACTTTCTTACCTACTCACTTACTTACTTACTTATCTACTTACTTATCTACTTACTTACTTACTTACTTACTTACTTACTTACGTATTTACGTATTTGCTTATTTACTTACTCACTCACTTACTTATACACACATATATATATTTACAGTAAACATATATAGATATATATATACATATTTGTACATGTGCACGCCGCCTGCGACTGATTGGTTCCTCGCAAAAAGTGTTCAACCCTCACACAGCTTTCCTGTTTTAATTGGTTTCAGTCAGGTGGAACTTTGTTGGATGTTCCTGGGTTTGCTCGGTTCACACTATTCTGCAAGTCGAGCATAAGAAACCAGAGGTAAACATACCTTAAGCGCTTTTGATTGAATAGAAATTGTTTGGCCACCTTGATTTTACACAAATTAGCCGTAAGAGTCGGCGTCCAAGATAAACTGAATTGGCTTTAGCAGCGCAAAGGATCAGCCAGCCATGTGCTAGAGTTTGGGGCTAGTGCGCCAGCGCAAAGCATCAGCAAACCATCATCCCATGACAGTTTCTTTGTAAAGTGAGCTGAGCCGAGTTGTAGTGTCCCACAGTTACCCCATGTCATAATACTTACGATGCGAACGTATTACTACCCCAGCATCACCTCATGCTTTCTTTGCACACGCCGCAAATCCTGCATTCCTTCCTGCAGAGCTCGGCGGGAATCCAGTTAAACTATCGCTGATTGGTACTTCAAGGTTTACGAGTGGGTATCCAACATTTTCCTGCAACGGAACCCCTGGCGTGAAACACAATTTGAACATGTGCAGGTCGGAAGAGACCCTAGAAGCAGCTATGAGTCCTTCGTGGGAAGGCAACTTGGCAGAGCGCTCCAGGTGTTGGGATCCCATCTGTAATGCAGTTTTCTTTTGCGCCTTTGCATGCATTTTTTGTATGGTATATTTTTAATTTATATATACATGCATATAATATACCTACAAAAACCCTCAAATTTTATCAGATTGAACAGCCTTTGGCCAAGACTCTGAACATCAAATCAGCCAACTCATGAAACACCGCTGTTCTAGGCTTGCGCCCACCACACCCTGCTAGCAGCCTCCATACTATACAGCATCCACCCGCCCGGCCTCACCCGCGGCAAAATTGACAGTCCTGAACCAACAGCGTCCAATCCTCGTGGAGCTCCCGCTGTTTTTCTCCTGACATCCATGATTTGCATTTGCACTGGAACACATGTGGAAAAGGCGGAGCGATGATTAATCGTTGTCGTAGCGGAAGGAAGATGCAGAACACATCTCAGACAACAAGTGCGCATCAGCATCAATATGCCAACAGAGGTGGGCATCAGAGGAGGAACATGTTTTGGTACCCTCGATATAGGTTTTGTGGAATTCCAATTGCTTATTGCGCTCATTTGAAGCTGAGGTATATTGACCAGGTTTGTGCCTGCCTTCAGGCGCGGTCAAGACTTAGGACATGTACGGGGCTAATTAAAGACTTTGTCAGATGGTTTTTGTTCCTTTGATTCTGATTTAATATTCAAGCCTGTCGCAAAACTGCCAGATAGATTCATTTGAGGCCAAAGCGGGAGAGAACGATTGGTCCTTCTCTGACAGTGAAGGGTCAGTGGCATTTCCGCTGGGACGCCCAAGCCCGTTTTGCGGAATACTCATCCGCTAGGGAGGTTTAGGCGGAGCCGAACCACAAGGGAAACCACAAGCCGTGGACAGTTGCTATTGCAGGGTACCTATGGAAAAACCCACACGCCCATCTCGGATTTGTCTGACTTACGGCACTGGCGCTGAGCCCAAGGCTGCCCAATGTCAGCATCTTTGATGTACCTACATGGACCAGTGTCACCGACTTCCAGGCCCGGAAACTCGTGCTTTGGATCGTAGGGAATGGGGTTTCTCAAGTCTTGATTTGTACGACAATTTGTGCAACGCGCCTGTACATGATATATTTTCTATTTATCCAACTATCTACAGTACCTATCTATCTATTGATCGATCTATGGATCTATCTATCTACCTATCTACCTATCTATCGATCGATCGATCCATCAATCAAGCAATCTATCTATCCATTCATCCATCCATCCATCCATCCATGCATCCATCCATCCATCCAATCCATCCATCCATCCATCCATCCATCCATCCATCCATCCATCCATC